CAACGAGCAGCGGCTGAATCGAGGACGCCTAGGGCAGAGCTGGAGTATCGGAAGGGAGAGCTATGAGGCGTCTGGGGTGGCACCCCCCCCACCCCAAACCTCTCAGATCCCCCCCTTCCGATAGTCTGGCATATCTGATAATCCGGCACCCCCTGGGTCCTAAAGGTGCCGGATTATCTGAAGTTTACTGTATATAGAAAGAATAACCTAATACCCTGCTGTCCTTCAATAAGGAAACTCTGACCTACTAATGAGCCCTAAGTACTGGGGCAAAGAGGGCCCTGTGATAATGAACCACAGCTTTATTGCCTTCCTATCAGGCTCAGCTCCCAAGGGGATCGGTACAGTATAAAGTACTTGGATGGATAGAGAGATTAGATAGCAAAGCGCTGGGTCATAAATACTTCACGCCGGGGGCAGTATTCACCTCACAGGAGGGAGGGGGGGAATGGTCTGGCAGGCTCTGAAGTAACCAGATCCTTCCACCGTTAGAGACTTGAATGTCTCTGGGAGCTGGCTGGCAGCACAGCACAAGTGAGATTGCCCCCAGCCTGCCCTCTTTGAGGTGGGATCAGGAAGTTAGGTGGAGCAAGGGGCTTTTGCCAGTTCCATGAGGCACCTGGCTGCAATTGTAAGCACCTAATGCCTTGGCAAATGTGGTGCCTACTTTGTTTTTTTTGTGGGAATGAAGTGCCACAGCACACTGGGGGTACGTCTAAACTACATGGCTCCGTCGATGGAGCCATGTAGATTTGTTTTTTTGGCAAAGGCAAATGAAGCTGCGATTTAAATGATCGCGGCTTCATTTGCCTTTGCCTATCTGTCTAATCTACATGGCTCCATCGATGGAGCCATGTAGATTAGACAGATAGGCAAAGGCAAATGAAGCCGCGATTTAAATGATCGCGGCTTCATTTAAATTTACATGGCTGCCGCGCTGAACCGACAAACAGCTGATCAGCTGTTTGTCGGTTCAGCGCGGCAGCCATGTAAATTTAAATGAAGCCGCGATCATTTAAATCGCGGCTTCATTTGCCTTTGCCTATCTGTCTAATCTACATGGCTCCATCGATGGAGCCATGTAGTCTAGACACAGCCTGGGTGTTGAATAAGCCCCAAGTGGGAGACAGAGCTGATGTCCTGAAGAGCTGATGCTCTAAAGAGGCAGAGGAAGGATGAGGCAGGAGTGAGAGGGGTCGCTGGATCAGGAACGAAAACCATGGGTCAGAGGCGTAGCGAGGGTGTTCTACGCCTGGGGGCAAAGGAAAAATTTGTTGCACAGCTGAGCCTGACCCTAGGAGGAGGAGGGGAAGGGAACTTGTACCGCATCTTCCCCCGCCCCCTCCAGTTTGGAGCTGGGCTCCCGCATGTACTAACCCGCCGGCGGAGATGGAGGAGGGTCGGGCTAGGAGCAGAGAGGCAAGCGGAGTAGAAGCAGGTGAGCTGAGGGATGACAGGGGGAGCAGAATGGGATTAAATTGGCACCTCCCTAGCATGGTGCCCAGGGGCAATTGACCCCTCCGGCCCCTTCACTATGCCACTGCTCCCCCCTCCTGCAGATCTATAATCTTATGCATGTGCAAGATCTGTGAAAGCCATCCCATGCATCTGCAGTTCGTGTCTGTGATGCCTGCTTCTGGGGGGGTATCTCAATGCCGCCACATTCACTTCCAAAGAGGGGGCTTCCCAAAGCAGGCCCTTGCTGCTGACCCCCAAGGCATCCACAGGTCCAGTCCCCTTTCAATGGGCCCTCTTCCCAGGGCTCATTGGTCTTGGATCTGGCTTCCCTCCCCTAGCCAATCCTTGCAACTGCCCAGAGGTGCTCGCCTTCCGCCTTATCCATTCCCACCTCATTCACCCCACAGGGACAGTCTCTGCCTCACTTGTCCTAGGGACTGTTCTACCAAGATGTAATACAAAGGTTCCATGTAAAAGGACTCGCTACAAAGCTAAAAACTTCAATGAGAGAACAATTAATACAGAGACGTGTCTACATCTGCTGCAGGGAGACACCTCTGCCTGCCTCCACCCCTCTCCCCCAGAGTCTACAGCCCCATTGCAAATCAGGGGAGGGGAAGGAAAGGGACTGAGGCCCATTCAACCGGGAGCCATTCCCCTGTCCATTGCTGGTGCTGCGGTGTTTCAGGCATGCTGAAATGCAGTCACCTCTGGGGTGGGCTGAACAGCTGTTTAACACCTGCACAAGGGGCTGGGGGCAGTACGGGCTGCCTTCCTGCAGATCCCCCGTCAAAACCACTGTGCCCTCCTGGCTTAGGAAAAGAATAAACAGGAGGATGGGAATCATCTCCTCATCATCTCCAGCCTGATCCTGGCCTGCATATTTATTCCTGCCTCTGGAAATTTCCACTACATGCATCTGACGAAGTGGGTCTTTGCCCACGAAAGCTTATGCTCCTACACTTCAGTTAGTCTATAAGGTGCCACAGGACTCCTCGTCGCTTTTGAGGATGGGAAATTAACCCACCCTGTCTCACGTCCCCTAGGCACGGCATGACCCATCCACATTAGGCCCCAGCTGGAGTATTGTGTCCTGTTCTGGGGGCCACATTTCAGGAAACATGTGGAGAAACTGGAGAAAGTCCAGAGAAGAGCAACACAAATGATGAAAGGTTTACAGAACATGACCTATGAGGCAAGGCTGAAGGAATTGGCCTACGGGCTTTTTTAGTTTGAAAAGGAGAAGAGTGAGAGGGGACATGATAGCGGTTTTCTAATCTCTAAAAGGGTGTCACAAAGAGGAGGGAGAAAAATTGTTCTCCTTGGCCTCTGAGGTTAGGATGAGAAGCAATGGGCTTAAACTGCAGCAAGGGAGGTTTTAGTTGGACATTAGGAAAAACGTCATGCCTGTCAGGGGGGTTAATCCCTGGAATAAATTGCCCAGGGAGATTGCGGAATCTCCATCACCGGAGATATTTAAGAGCAAGGGGCAGTCCCTGGCTGCAATTGTAAGCACCTAAACCCTTGGCAAATGTGGTGCCTACTTTGTCTTTGTTTGTGGGATTGAAATACCGCAGCATGCTGGGTGTTGAATAGGCCCCCAGTGGGAGACAGAGCCTGTCCTGAAGAGCTGATGAGCTAAAGAGGCAGAAGAAGGATGAAACACGAGTGAGAGAGGGTCACTGGTTAGGGTTAGGGTCACTGGATCAGAAAACCATGGCTGCTTGGATCAGAAAACTGATCAGAAAACCATGCCCCGGATGGGGCCCAACCCTGGAACAGCAGCGGCTGTGGGACAGAACTGAGCGGCATTGGCAGAGCTGTGTGTGAGGAGAGCCCAGGGTTGGAATAGCAGGGACTGAGAGGCCTTCGCAGAGCGGAGGGGGAGCGGGATTCAGGTGTGGGGGTAACCCCATGCTAAAACGGCAGGTAGCTGTGGGTTGGGATTGAGGGGCCCTGGCAGTGCTGAGTGTGAGCAGTCCAGGCCTGGGACAGCAGCGGAAACTGTGATTTGAGGGGCAGTTGCAGGCGAGGAGACCTGCAGGAGACCTGCAGTTGCAGGTGTGGCTTGGGATTAACAGGCATTGGCAGCGCCGTGAGGAACACAGGACGGGGATAGGAGAGAGGCAAGTCTGAGGTTCGTTGGCCCCTCAGTCAAATGGAGTCAGAGGCATCTCTCCAGCTTTGATTGTGGCTCTGGGTTAATGATTCTCTCAGCTATTGAGCGCAAAGGGCATCCCACAGGGCTGGGGGGATATAAAGTCAGAACATGAGGTGTCTGGAGTCAGATGAAGAACAAGGGCCGGATCTCACGCACCCTTCTCTTTGCTGCACCTCTTGTTCCATTGCAGACTCTCCGGGGGGATCCTGAAAGCAGCTTCATCTCGGTGGGAATCCTGGCAATTTCCAGCACTCAAGGAGCTCACCTTCATTCACTTTTCTCTGGTAAAAAAAGACCTTGATTTTCCTCATGGGCTCGAGCCCCCCCCCTTAATCCAGCCCTGCTCTGGTTAATGATTCTCTCACCTATTCAGTGCAAAGGGCATCCCAGAGGTCTGGGGGGATATAAAGTCAGAACGTGAGGTGTCTGGAGTCAGATGAAGAACAAGGGCCGGATCTCACGCACCCTTCTCTTCGCTGCACCTCTTGTTCCATTGCAGACTCTCCGGGGGGATCCTGAAAGCAGCTTCATCTCGGTGGGAATCCTGGCAATTTCCAGCACTCAAGGAGCTCACCTTCATTCACTTTTCTCTGGTAAAAAAAGACCTTGATTTTCCTCATGGGCTCGGGAACAGTCCCCCCTGGGGCTAGCCGGGCCCCTCACAGCGGTATCTGAGCTGTCTGGTGGCTGGAGTTCTCAAGTTGTGAGGAGCCTCCATTTCCCCTGAGGCCTGTTGTGCAGGGAAGGGAACAGGTTGAATGTGGGTGGGATTGTGGGCCTTCCACAGCAGATTTCCTTCCCTTCTCCGGCAGAGATGCTGGGACAGTGTGTCCAGTAGGGGTGCTGAGACCAAACGTTACACCCTGTGTATAACGACAACCACACCGAGCCAGCGGGGGCGGCAGTGACCCGGGTTCCAGTGCCTGAGAGAGAGCTGTCAACAGTGAGAGATTATAGGGGGTGACATGCTGGCTGAGCACATGGAAGTGTGTCTCCTCCCAGAGGCGGCAGCCCTGACTCTTTAGTGACACTCTGTGAAGTTGGTCCTTTGCGGGTGTGTGGGGTTTTGGTATTGATGGTGGCAGGTTTGATCCCTGCTGATGGTTGAATATGTAGCAGCAGGGGTTGGACTAGATACACGTGGAGTTGCCGTGTCAGTGACCGTATGGGCCCTGGTGAACAACCGGTTCAATCCAGATATCCTGGTTCTGTCACTTAGAGCCAGAACACACCTGCAGCTGGGCACACTAGGCACCTGCATTTCTGCAGTAGAGATTTATTAGAGGCCTCTGTCTTTCCCCAGCTCATGAATCACGCTGAGCCTGAGGCACCTGGGCTTTTAGAGGGAGGCAGTAGCATGCGTGTTAAAAGGCAGAAACAGAGGTGCCTAATAAATCTCTACTGCAGAAATGCAGGTGCCTAGTGAGTTTAGGCTTCTAATCTAGAGGGTTATATGGGCGGATGACCATCTGTCTCTATGTGGCCGAGAGATTCCCTTATTTAAGCTCTGTCCTGGCTGTCCCAACTTAATTGGTAACAGGAAGCCTTGACTGGTTGGGAAGAGCAAATGAGGTGAGGCCTCCTTTTGTCAAAACTGTGCAGTGCAGAAGCCAAGTGGGAGAGAGGGTGATGACCCCATACAGGGTGGGGGCAGGACTGGGTCGAGCACCAATGCCAACCCAACTTTTGAGAAATATGGTCCCCTACCTAACCTGTGTGCTGCTGCTCACCAAACTCTGCCTGTCCTTGCAAGCGGAGGGGGCTTGGACGAGCAACAGGGGCTCAGGTGCGTGGCTGGAGCCTCTCCATGCACTGTCCTGTTTTCCTGTTGGGAAATGTGGCCATCCTAAGCATCTATGACTTGGGCCCCTAAGTCTCTTGGGGTATGTCTACACTACAGCACTAATTCAAACTAACTTAATTCAAATTAGTGCATCTAGACCTAAAAACTAATTCAAATTAGCATTTTGCTAATTCGAACTAGCATGTCCACATTGAGTGGACCCTGAACCAAAGTTAAGGCTGGCCGGAAGCAGTGGCAGCAGGGCATCAGGTTAGGACTTAGAGTGTGGAACTGCTGCCTGCTTATAGGGACCTGATCCCCACCCCAGACAGACAGTTCTCAGGGTTCCCCGCTTGCTTGTCTACCTCAATGAGGGACAGCAAAGCAGTCCTGACTTGGAGTGCCCTGAGTGCCCTCACTTGGCACATCACAGCACTCGGCCATCAGCCCAGCTGCACTTGCCACAGGCTGCCATCCGGGGGGGTCAATCGGGGAGCTGTCAGGATCCAGGAGGCCCTGCAGGAGAGCTTCCACCCTGAGGAGCCCGCAGAGCCACCCCAGTCCTCCCCATCAGGGGCTTGTGCCCTATTCCTCCCTCACCTCCTTCCACTTTCCCCTCCCTAGCCCCCCTTCCTGATGTAAAAAATAAAGGACACGTGTGTTCAAAAATAGAAACTCTCTTTATTTAACAAAACTGGCCGGAGGGCCGGGGGGGAGAATTAACCTCTGGGGAGACTGAGAAAAGGAGGTGGGAGAGGGGAAGAGAGAGGGTGGAAGAGGGGAGGGGGAAACCTGGGAGGAGGGAGCTGGAAGGGGGAAGCCAGGGGAAGAAGGAGGAGGGGAAGTATAAAACTATGGTACGCCATATCTTC